ACTCTTACATTCAGTTTCATATTATGGTCACAACTGTTGTTACCATTTTGCTCTGGCTGGTCATAGGAATGACTTTATAAAATTAATACTTTTTACCATACCATCTGATTTTCTCTGATTCAACCTTCAGACACCAAAAGTAAAACACAATAAGCAGTCTTTATGACAATACTATACTGAAAGTGACCTTAAAGAGATTATTGGAATTTATATTGAATATATGATACATTCTTACTGAGGAGGGAGGATGATGTGAAAGAGCCTACCTTCAAATTTAAATAAACTTCAGAAATCTTTCTGCCATGTGTGATGGTACACTCCTTTAATCCCAGCTCTTGGGAGGCAGAAGCAGGTGGATCTCCATGAGTTCAAAGCCAGCCTGGTCTACAAAGCAGATTCCAGGACAGCCAGAGAGACATAGAAGAATCTTGCCTCTAAATAAATAAACAAATAGATGAATAAATAAATATCTTCGTGTTATTTTTTTCCCTACAGTGTTGGTGATTGAATCCATAGCTTCAGGCATGCTATTCAAACATTCTACCACTGTTCTACATCACTGTCTCCAGAAGTCTCTTCCTTCTTTCTGTCTGCCAGCCTGCTTTCCTTCTTTCCTTCTTTCCTTCCTTCCTTCCTCCCTCCCTCCCTCCCTCCCTTCCTTCCTTCCTTTTTTCCTTCTTCCTTCCTTCTCTCCTTTCCTCTTTCTTTCTTTCTTTCTTTCTTTCTTTCTTTCTTTCTTTCTTTCTTTCTTCCTTTTTTTTTTTAATGAATATATTCTGTAAGCCTAGATTGGGCAGATACCCTTACATTACTCTGTTCCCCAGCTATGAGACCCTTATAACTTGAGGATTTTCCAGACCCTGCATCTGTCCTTCTACTTCCTGCTTCCCAGTCCAATTAAAAGACTCTCTTCTCCCAGATATAAATTGAACACAACTATATTATCATATTGTAATTGTTAAAGTACAATATAGAACTAACGCCCAGTCCATCATTTTTGTTAGCTAAATAGAACCTCAGTTATCTTTCCTAACTAAGAGACTTAGTTCTAAACCTGGCCTTTTTCCTGGCTTTAGAATGAATGTCAGTTGAAAATCATCCTCTCAAATCTGTTCTTTCAACGTAAATAGCTTGGCTATGAGACTGAAAGTGTTCAACCCCATCAGAAATCCAGAATGACTGAATTAACCGAAATTATGGTAAGCACAAAGCATAGCTTCTAAAATGTAGCCAATATATAGAGACCACTGAACACCTAGACAGTCCCTATACTTCAAAACGTTGGAGCATCCGATCTTCAGCCTTCTGGCCCAGGATCATCTGACAGACCTAGTGATGCAGAATTATTAAGGGCTGATTACTCTGTCTTGGCAGATATAATCAGTGAACTATTACAAAAATGTGTCCTTTTCTGGACAGTAATTTGTCTGTAGATGAAAAGAGGCAGTTCTTGCCTAGTGGCTATCTCACCACAACTGGAGTAACTCCAAAGATGCTCAATTTCTTCTTAGAATCCAAGACAGGAAGCTGTCCGGGGCAGACAGGTCTCTAATCAAAATGAACATTTATATAGGAATGTTTGTAATGTCAACTCTATGGATTTCTGATGTTTTTGAAAACCAGTTATCTATGTAAAGCAACCTGGACTGTTGTCCATTAACTACTCTCAGCTATTTCTAATTAACATCTCGAAAACACCCTAACAGTAAACTCAGAGCCATGAATTTGCTATAGGCCCTTAACTTACAGGTTCAAATCAATTAACAAAATTAAGGAAGGACTGGGTCTAAGCCTTATATTGCTAAATGTGTTATATAGGCACAATGCCCATGAGAGTAACAATATTAAAGCCCAGGGAATTGGGGCACTGACTTTTCATTAACTTCTTCAAGCTGAATACGGGGGTTGAGACATTAGAAGAGGGTAGGGGGAGGGTAAATTGATAAGCCTCTGATGTCTTTGTCTTCATTGCATCCAGCTGAAATTCCAGGACATCAGAGGTTCGAGCAGGTCTGCTCAGCTTGATTGATGAGCAGATAAACCAAGGCTGTGTATTCTGCAATATACAATTCTCAAAACAAATTTTAGTATCATGATAACTTTTTGTTCGAATTCTGGAATCTAGTCTTCTGATGGCCTGCCTCTGTCATGTCTAATCCATATAATTCTGGGAGGTAGAATTATCTTAATTATCTCTTCTGAAAATACACAGACAAAACCTTTTTCCCTAAATAGAATATTCTTGAGTCAGTAACCAGAAAAATTGTTATCTTGACCTCTTTCCCAGAGGAAAAATATAACCACAAAATTGAAAATCACACCCATCTTCCTTCCCTATTTTGCCAAGCAGGAAATGAATCCAGAATTCCCATTGGGGCCCATGTTAAACAGAACCCAAGTCTCCTGTGAGGCAGTATAACTATATCGCCAGGCAGTGGTGGCCCACACCTTTAATCCCAGCACTTGGGAGGCAGAGGCAGTCAGATTTCTGAGTGGGAGGCCAGCCTGGTCTACAGAGTGAGTTCCATCCAGGACAGCTAGGACTACACAGAGAAATCCTGTCTCAAAAAACCAAAAAAAAAAAAAAATTATATCATCTGAATACACCCAATTTACACTATCTTTCTGTTCAGCCTCTGCCTAGAACAGTTTTATTTTATACCATCTGTACTTGGCTCTGTACTTCAGAGGAGCTTCCACTTGTACACTGTACTCTTTACCCTAGAGCCAGTGACAATTTTCCCTAAGTTGATTCCCATCAAACCATTCAAAATATCATAAAGCCCAAAAGACATTCATTGTGTTTCTCACCTTCAAGTATCAAGTTATATACCTCCTTTTTAAATCAAAGAATTACCTGGTCCAGAGCCCTCAGTTTGCTGCTTCCTCCTGAAAACTACCTTGCAGGCAGCCGTGTTTCAGGATCTCCTGTTCCCCCCTCCAGTTTTCACAGGGCACCGATCAAGCCCAGCTGCAGGTTGAGCACTGCTCCCAACCCTGGCCACAGCTCTCCATTTGGGGGTTGGGAGAGGAAGCCTCTCTGTCGCTCTGTAGGCCCCCCAGACTCACTCAGCTCTCTATGGGGGTTTTACCTCAGGTTAGTTGAGTTCTAGCCAATATGTTGGGCACCAATGTAGTGGGAGATATTTAAATCTCCAACCCAAATATGACCTGTCAATGAAAACACAACTCAGTAATTATGAATATATTCTGTAAGCCTAAATTGGGCAGATAACCCTACACTACTCTGTTCCCCAGCTATGAGACCCTTATAACTTGAGGATTTTCAGACCCTGTGTCTGTCCTTCTACCTCCTGCTTCCCAGTCGTCCTCTCCTTCGTCATCTTCCTCCTCCATTGTCTTCCTTCAGTCCTCCTCCCCCTTCTCTCCTTTCCTCCTTCTGTCTGCCTGTTTGTCTTCTTTCCTTCCTTTCTCCTTCCTTCTCTCCTGTTTGTCTGCCTGCCTGTCTGCCTGCCTGCCTGCCTGTCTGTCTGTCTGTCTGTCTGTCTTGCTTTCTTTTTAAGTATTATTGGCAATGATTACCTGGTAGAAGGCTGTGGATCTTTGTGGTGTGTTGGTGTGTGTGTGTGACCAGAGATTAATGTCAGCATGACTTTCCTCAGTCGCTTTTCCATCATACTTTTTGAGACAGGCTCTCTCAGTAAACAGATTGCTTTTTCATCTAGACTTGTTGGCCAGCATGCCTAGGGGTCTGCCTGCCTGTCTCTAACACTGTGTTTACAGGAATGGGTCATCATGCCAGGCTTTTATGTGACTTCTGTGGATTTAAACTCAGGTTCTCATGCTTCTGAAAGTACTGACTGGGCTGCCTCATTAACCCTGCGAACCTTATTCTTAGGCAGCCAGGTAGTTTGTCCTTTATATATATACCTAAGATAATTAAGAAGGTTGCCAAAATAAATTTCTGTCTCCATAACTTATATGTTTATACAAATCTCAAAATATAAAATTCACTTTCAAAATGTAAATAATCTTACAATAACAAGTTAGTAAAAGTCATATACTTAGTAACAAGTGATTTTTTTTAAACTTATTTGTGAGTAATTTCATTTATACTGAACTTTAACATATGCATGGAATAAATCAAAGTATTGAATTCCTTGAGCTGAGATTATGACTCAGTGCTTACTTAGTGGGAAGTCCTGGGTTTGATGCCCAGTGTGTGTGGTGTGTGTGTGTGTGTGTGTGTGTGTATACCTGTACACACACAGAGAGGGGTAGAGATGGAGAACAAACCAGGGACGAGAGTGTGTGCCTGTAATCTCAGCACTCAGGAGGCTGAGGCAAAATAACTCAAAGTTTGAGACCAGGCTGAGCTATATTATTGCAAGAGCATGTCTCAGGAAAGGGGGTGGAGAGAATATAATAAAAGTTTTGGCTTTGCTGTCCATGCAGGGGCAGGAAAGGCCGGTAGGAGGGAGAGAAGGAGGGGAAAAGGGAAGAGGGAATGCAAGAGAATGAGGTCGTAATAAAAGTCATGGGCCTTACTGGCCCTGTTGGGCCAAGTGTGCAATCCCAGTTACTTGGGAGGCTAAACTTGTGCAAATAAGTAAGACCCTGGCTCAAAATATAAAGTAAGAAAAGGTTGCTGTGGGTAAAGTGTCTGCTGCACCAGTGTGAGGCTCTGAGCTCATATCCTCAGAACTCTAGCCTGGGTCTATAATCCTACTGCTCCTCTGTCAAGAGGGAAAGAAAGCAAAGACAGGAGAATCCAGAAGCAGGCTCTAGACTCTGACAACCAGAGTTGGCCTCTGACTTCCACCTAAGCACCATGGCATGCACACAAGATTAAAGCAGACGTTTAAAAGGATTGAGGAGATGGCATAGCCATAAAATGTTTTGAGTAGCTTTGTTGTAGTTCATTTTTTCATGTTACCAGTTTTTGGTGTAAAGTAAAACCTATCAGAAGTTTTCTTAGTTTTGTTTGTGAAAATTGTATTTTGAAAAATTATTTTGTTTCATTTCTCCTTGTTGTATAGATGAAACCAGCTTGTATAAAAGCCCTCACTCGTATATTTAAAATATCTGATCAAGATAATGATGGCACTCTGAATGATGCTGAACTCAACTTCTTTCAGGTAGCTGTTTTAGCTTCAGATCAAGAATTATCAATTTAATCAATAATAGCCACTAAGCAACTTGCTCTCTTATCTATAAAACTATCACATCCAACTAATAAATCTCAAGATATAAAAAGCCTCTTATTCCTAGGAATGGAGACTTTGATAATTTGATCTCATGGTATTCAGTGGGTGTATGAAGAATGGTGAACTCTAAATTTCTTTGCTTTCTGGGGTTTTTATTATGTGACCACACAAAGATCTCTGTGTTTCTGGAACAGAACTTGGAGTGCTGCTGGTTTCTTTCTTTGAATATAACACACTTCACTTAAATAATAGGAAATAGAGGCAGCACTAACTTGTTTCTTTTGGTTGTAGGTCTTTCATTTTGTAGATTATCAGTGTTTTATATTCTTCATAGATTTATATTCTGGTTTGTTTTTAAATGTATTTTATTTTATGTTTTTGGTAGAGAATTTGTTTCAACACTCCTTTAGCTCCGCAAGCGCTGGAAGATGTCAAGAATGTGGTTAGAAAGCACTTAAGTGACGGTGTGGCTGACAGTGGGCTGACGCTCAGAGGTAGGGCTGGTGTTTTTCATCACTTCCTCCCCAGGGGCTGGGAACCCAGGCCCTTACTCATGTGGAGCAAGCATTCCTCCACTCAGGTCTATCTCTAGCCCACTCCCCACCCCCTACACTTTAATATTTATCAAATAGAATTACTTATACATTAAGGAAATGTTAGTATTGGTAAGAGATTATTATCTTTACTGTCATCATAAAGAACAGGTAGAGAAATTGGCTAGATAAGATATACAGAAATCTATATGAGGCAAAGAACTATATGTAACAAACATCTTAGTACTCATAAGCAATCTTTGGCAAAAACTGCTTTGAGGGACTGTATATATACATCAGATTTACCAATTTTAGTGTTCCTTGTTGAGTATGTTGCTGAGTCATGGTGTACTAAAAACATGAATTGAAAACCTAAAATTTTTCATTAGAGAAGTAAGCCAGGAGACTTGTACACTATTATCATTTTTCATCATGTAGCTCTCGTTGTCAGTGTGTTCCTTGGGGTGTAACTCTGTCCCTCTGTCCAGTTTATGGAAATGAGTCTGGAATGAGATCTCTTTCAGACCCCTGACGACTGTTTGGCTCCCTGTGAACCTAATACACGGGCTCTCCCAGCCCTAGCTCCCGTCGTTTGCTTTTCCCCCTGGCACAGTTGCAGTGTTCACATCAACTGTATTTACTGATTTACTTTATTTCAGGTTTTCTCTTTTTACATACACTTTTTATCCAGAGGGGGAGGCATGAGACTACTTGGACTGTGCTTCGACGGTTTGGTTACGATGATGATCTGGATCTGACGCCTGAGTATTTATTCCCCTTGTATGTACCTCAGCTTTCTCATTTATTTTACTTTCTAATTTATTTCACTTCATATTGTTTTATTTAATATATGCATTGTTTTAAGGATCTCATGACTAATTTAGAATTATAGGTAGTTTCTCAACTTTGGCACGATGAACATTTTAGAACGGTGAATTTTTGAGTCTCTCTGTTGTGACTTGGAACTCACTCTGTAGACTAGGCTGGCCTGGAACTCATAGAGATCCGCCTGCCTCGGCCTAACCGAGTGCTGGGACTAAAGGCATGTGCCAACACTGTCAGGCCAGAAAATTATTGTCTGTCCTCTCCACTACAGGATGGTGAGCAGATCTTTCAATGACAGCAATACCTTTTCTAGTAGTTGTGACGAGTAAAAATGTCCACTCATGGACAAAATCATCCACAGTTGACAACTAGTACTTAATATAGCAGAAACACTATTTATTTACTTAGTTGAATTTTTTTGTTGTTTTAAGACAGGTTCTTAATATATAGAGCAGGCTGGCCTTGAACTCACAGAGATCTGTCTGCCTCTGTTTTCCAAGTGTTGGGATTACAGATTTGTGCCACTATACCTAACTTTACTAATCCTTTTAAAAACTTTTATTGAAGATACGGTTAAAAAAGATACCAAGTAATCATAGTTTTAGAGTCACAAGATGAGAAAAATGTTACTTAACAATTTCCTCCTTTATTATTTCTTCCTCTCACTTTTATGGCTTGTTTTCAGTTCACATCAAGTATTTTTTTTTTTCTAAACAACTGATGTATGTGTAGTTATTTTCCTTTGATAATGCTGTTTGAGTCTTTTTTTTGGTTTGGTTTGGTTTGATTTGGTTTGGTTTTTCAAGACAGGGTTTCTCTGTGTAGCCCGCGCTGTCCTGGAATTCACTCAGTAGACCAGGCTGGCCTCGAACTCAGAAATCCACCTGCCTCTGCCTCCCAAGTGCTGGGATTAAAGGCGTGCACCACCACTGCCCAGCTGTTTGAGTCTTTATGTGTTTAAATGTGGGCTCAGGGATGTCCTCCCAGGAGAGACTGCCTGCTCCTGGGTGCCTCTTTTTTTCTCTTCAGGAACTGTGGCTTGCATAATTGAGCCGTGGCATCTTCCAACCATTCCTCTTTACCTTTTAGTTGTATATTACCATTGAGGTATCATTTCTTTGTATAAGAATTGCACCTCCAGCTATCTGTGTAATAGTTCAGAAAAAAATTCTTTAACTTTCTCCATTGTCAAGGAGCCAGAGTATTTTTCTGATCATATTAATAATAGATTTTTGGTCTGTTATTAATATGTCCTAGGTTGAAACTTAAGGAACTGAATGTTGGCTAAAGTTAAACACAGTATTTCAGTACATACTGAATGAATGAGTTTATCCTGGGACCCTTCACAAAGTTTTCTTTCCTATACTATTTACATGGATGGATACATTCTGCAGGAGATGGATTGATTATTTACTATTATGGGGGGCTCTGCTTCATGTGAGTGTGAGGCCAGAAGAGGACATTGGATATCCTGCTCCATCAGTCTGCTACTCATTTTTGGGGGACATGGCTTCTAACTGAACCTGGATCAAGTCTGGCAAGCCAGAAAGCCCCTCGATACTCCTCTCTGCACCCCACCCCCACCCCAGCACTAGGGTTATGGTTCTTTCTTTCCTTCCTTCCTCCCTCCCTTCCTTCTTCCCTCCTTTTTTCCCTCCCTCCCTCCCTCCCTTCCTTCCTTCCTTCCTTCCTTATATATAAGTACACTGTAGCTGTCTTCAGACACACCAGAAGTGGGCGTCAGATCCCATTACAGATGTCTATGAGCCACCATATGGTTGGTTGCTGGTAATTGAACTCAGGTCCTCTGGACGAGCAGCCAGTGCTCTTACCTACAGAGCATCTTTAGCCCCTAATTACTATTCTTTTAAGAAGTTGCTTCTGAGGACTAGAGAGATGGCTTAGGGGTTAAAAACTTCTGCCTCTGCAGAGGACCTGAGTCCAGTTCTCAGCAGTTACATCAGGAGGCTCTTAACCTCATGCCATTCCTAGTCAATGGAATCCTAACATGATCTCTTGGCCCCTGTATGTACCTGCATTCACATCACACACACACACACACACACACACACACACACACACACACACACACACCTTGTCTAAAAATGCCCTCGGCACTTCTCACTTGAATATGATTCCTTAGATTTAGATTTAGGGAGCCGTAAATGTAACAAAGCCAAAAGCAAACAAGCAAGCAAGCAGTGAGGGATGCGGAGGGAGGCCTCTGATGCTGTGGTATAGTAACACAAATGAGTACATCCCTTGTGAACACAGTGCGGACAGGGTGGAGCCTCAGAAACCAGCGTTTGTATGACCCGATCGACCCAGCATTCCCACTGCTGACTTCATAAGTCACAGAAATGGAATCGTAGGAGACATGCCTGTGCTCGATTGTCTACTGCAGCACTGCTCAGAAGAGCCACAATTCAGAGCCACTTGTGGGTGAATAAATTGTTTTTAAAATTTGGGCCTGAGTAGCTCAGCAAATGAAGGTGCTTCTCATGAAGCCTGGTTCCCCTGAGTTCAAGCTCTGGAACCCACGTAAAGGTGAAAGGCTCGAACCGACTCTACATAGTTGTCTTCTGACCTCTACTACGTGTGCCCCCACACTCAACATACATGCACTTAATAGTAAATAAATAAACATTAAAGTGCTGTGTGAATATAGTTCCTTAATGGAATATTTATTCAACCATAAAACAGGATAAAATATTTTTAAAAGTTTTTTTCATGTGCATGAATGTTTGCATGTATGTGTGTGCCTCACAAGTGTCCTGGTGCCACCGAGGGCAAAGGAGGATATTTGATCCCTTGGAACTGGTAATAGACAGTTGTGTTTAGCCACACGGGTGCTGGGAACTGGACCCAGGTCACAAATAAGAACAACCACTGTTCTTAACCATTGAGTCATCTCTCTAGCCCCAAAAGATGGGTGGCATCTTGTTATTTGTGGCAAGGTGAATGGAACCTGAGGATATTATGCTTAGTGAAACAGGCAGACATGGGAGACAAATGAATGTCCTTACTCAGGGGTAGTTGCTTAAATATTTGATCACAAAGAAACAAGTAGAGACTGAGTAGGCAGAGGTTACTAGTGTGTACCAACATCAAGTGCTGTAAGAGAGTCTTATGTTCTATGTAGCATAGTAAGGGAACTAGAGTTTGTAATAATATACATTTCTTTTGTTTTGTTTTGGTTTGGTTTGGTTTGGTTTGGTTTGGTTTGGTTTTTCGAGACAGGGTTTCTCTGTGTAGCCCTGGCTGTCCTAGAACTCACTCTGTAGACCAGGCTGGCCTCGAACTCAGAAATCCGCCTGCCTCTGCCTCCCAAGTGCTGGGATTAAAGGCGTGCGCCACCACCAGCCAGCAATAATATACATTTCAAAACCACTGGAGAAAAGATGTCTAATGATGTCTAACATGTAGTCAGGATGGTATTTGAGGAGATAGAGGTGCTAATTACTATGATTTTATCATTATACATTCTATCTAGGTAATATTTTTCCTTTCTATGTAGCCTATACTGGCCTGGAACTCACTGTGTAGACCAGGCTAGGCTTGAATTCACCAAACTCTGCCGGTCTCTATCTCCTTAGTCCTGGGGTTAAAGGTGTATGCTACTGTGCTTAGCATCAGATATAAATTTATAATACTGTAGTCTATAGACAAATACAAATATTACATGCCAGTTGTATTACTCAGGGTTAGCTATTGCTGTGATGAAACACCATGGCCAAAGCAACTTGGGGAGGAAAGTTTTATTTGACTTACATTTCCACATTGCAGTACATCATCAACAGAAGTCACGACAGAAACTCAAGCATGGCAGAAACCTGGAGGCAGAAGTTAATGTTGTGGCTGTAGTGGGTGCTGCTTACCAGCTTGCCTGGTATGCCTTGCTCAGCCGGATTTCTTATAGCACCCAAAACCTCCAGCTCAGGGGTGGCATGACCCACAATAGACTGGCCCTCCCGACAGTCGCTAACTCAGAAAGTGTCCTCCAGGCTTGCCTGCAGCCTGTACTCTTGGAGGCATTTTCCCAGTTGAAGCTCTCTCTTCTACAGGAGTCAGCTGTGTCAAATTGACATGAACTAACCAGCATATCTAAAAATAAAAGTAGTCAGGCTTGATGGTACACTCCTACCAATCCAGCACTTGGAAGGCTGAGACAGGATTCAGAATCCAGGATCACTATGGTTTGTATAGCTCCAGGCCAGCCTTATCTTAATAGCATCCTGTTGTAAAGACAAAAAACAAATAAAAAAAGTTTTAAAGCAGTACATAAATAAAAATTCTTAAAAATTCTAAGGTAGGCCGGGCAGTGGTGGCACACGCCTTTACTCCGAGCACTTGGGAGGCAGAGGCAGGCAGATTTCTGAGTTCGAGGCCAGCCTGGTCTACAGAGTGAGTTCCAGGACAGCCAGGGCTACACAGAGAAACCCTGTCTTGAAAACAACAACAACAACAAAAATTCTAAGGTAGGAAGCATAAAAGTTTTGGTTTTTGTCTCTAGCACTTAGCTCACTGCATTTGACATTTGTTAAAGAATATTTCAATTTTTCAACTCATAATGCTGCCATTAATATTAAGTCCATAGTTGTGACTTACATCATTGAGTATATTTTTATACACTTATCTACCACCAAAAAATGAAAAATCCATGACAGAGGTAAAACCTGAAAGACTGCCTGTCCGTCCCTGCACTCAGGCCTTCTTCATCACCTAATACTAACCTTCTGTTGTTGTTCTTTCTGTGTGTTATATATTATAGGATAAGAATTCAGTTATATGCCGGGCGTGGTGGCACACGCCTTTAATCCCAGCACTTGGGAGGCAGAGGCAGGTGGATTTCTGAGTTTGACGCCAGGCTGGTCTGCAGAGTGAGTTCCAGGACAGCCAGGACTACACAGAGAAACCCTGTCTCAAAAAAAAAAAAAAAAAAAACACAGAAAGAATAGTTATAGAAGTCTAAAATCTAATATGAAGTTCCACAGCTACAGGATGGCTTTTATTAATGATACTATTTATGAAGATTGGTGTTTTGCCTGCATGTATGTCTGTGTGAGGGTCTCAGGTCTCCTGGAACTAGAGTTACAGCATTTGTAAGCTGCCATGTGGGTGCCAGGAATTGAACCTGGGTCCTCTGGAAGCACAATCAGTACCCTTAACTGCTGTCCTGCCCTTATTTTGTTCTTTTTATTTTGTTTAGTGTTTCATGAGACAGAATTTCTCTGTGTAGCCTGGCTGCCCTGGAATACTCTGTAGACCAGCCTGGCCTGACTCAAGAGATCTACTTGCCTCTGCCTCCTGAGTGCTGGGACTAAAGGTGACTTAGCTGGCATTGGTTTTAAACAATGATTTCATGGCTCCAAGCTTAGGTTGACAGTCTTGTTCAGCAAGTGGTTTTAGCTGCTGAGTCATCTCCTGGCTCTTTTTAAATTGTTCTTCTGTTTTTTGAGATAGGGCCTGGTGTTGTATAGGCTAAAGATGCCCTTGAATGCCTGATCCTCCTGCCTCCAACTAGTGAGTGCTTGGATGATAGACATAAGGTAGAATGAATCTGAGGGCTGTGTGCATAGACAAGCGTTCTACCAGCTGAGCCACATCCCATCTCAGAATCAGAATGGTTTGCATAGTTGTTATTTCAACCTGCCCTAATAACACCTAGGAAAAAATATGTCTACATGTCTTTGGAATGAACATTTCTAGTAATTCTTCTAAGGAATGTCATACCACCCCAGAGGCTTTTCCCTGAGACCGTCTGTGTGACTAAGGAGAAAGTATCTTTATTCATGCTGTTATCTCACAGGAATGCTTGCTTCTGTTTTTAAATTCATTTTTCAAGTAAAATTTTAATATTTGATTAATGATTTATTCTTAAATTTTTCCATCAACAGGCTAAAAATACCTCCTGATTGCACTACTGAATTAAATCATCATGCATATTTGTTTCTCCAAAGCACCTTTGACAAACATGATTTGGTAAGCCTTCTCCTGCATTTTTCCAATGTACATAGTTTTTATGTTATTTTGAATAATATTACAAAGTAAGGATTTTTCTATGAATGATTTTCTTTTATCCTTTGAGCTACCCAGTGTTTATGATATGTTGCCCAAACTTTAAGCTTTTAATCAAATGATTAAATGATTTTATTGTTTTCTTAGGATGAAAAAGTCTGGTTTTCTGATAGACTTTTATAATGTGAGAAGATGTCTTAGTAAAACATATAAAAGTTCTTCTAAAAGTTGTTATTTTCAGACTAGTAGTTGTGCGTACACCTTTAATCCTAGCACTGTCTCAGAAAACAATCATACAAAACAGAAAAAAAGTTTCTCATTTTATTTTACTTATTAATTCATTTATTTATTTTGAGACAGGGATTCTCTGTGTAGCCCTGGCTGTTCTGGAATTAGCTCTGTAGGCTGGCCTCTGCCTCTGATTAAATGCACCACCACAGCCAGCAAGAGTTCCTATTTTAGGATGAGTTTCTCAAAGCATGGTTTTGCTGGATGAGAGAGCCGTTTTGTGTGGGGACTTCTCTCAGGCTTGTGAGTGTTACGTTACCTCTTTGTGTGTCTTCAGGACAGAGACTGTGCTTTGTCACCTGATGAACTTAAAGATTTATTTCAAGTTTTCCCTTACATACCTTGGGGACCAGATGTAAACAACACAGTTTGCACGAATGAAAGAGGCTGGATAACCTACCAGGGGTTCCTTTCCCAGTGGACGTGAGTATAGAGCCTGCCTCCATGTTCTAGAGTCACAGTTACTCTTAGATTATGATGTGTTGTATGTGGCATTGTGTGTGCCTGTCACATGAGGGACATGTGGAAAGTTAGTCTTTCCATCCTAACTTTCGAGAAGCATGTCTCAGATAGACTGAGGACATTTTTCTAAGTTTGTCAAGAAGGGCTGTTTTCTTCTCGGTAATGTTGTAGGAAATAGGAACATTACATCAAAAGGAAACTAAATTGTGTACTCTGATTACAAAAGTTGGAACTGTCATTATATTTCACAGTCCATCAGCAAATGGGAAGAAAGAAGCATGTTTTACTGGACACTAGAGTTTGCATTTCTTGTTTTAAGTGATTTTTAGTTAATTAAAAACTAAATTCTAAAACTTAATGAAGATGGGTCTAAAACCTACTTAGAGCATGGTTGGCATTGTGCCAAGAACATTGAAGAAATTCTGTTTTTACATGATGTCATCATTACTTTAGCATTGCTAAGAAAGATTTCATCTTCCAGAGAGGTGGTAGATGTGTTAAAGAAAACCAGGCTCCACCCCAAGGAAAGACCCTTGAAGCCGGCTTTCTCAACATTTTCTCTTGTTCTCTTCCTCTTCTTTCCCAGCCCTCCCTCGCTACACAACCTCCCTCCTTCCCCATTGTCTCCCCTTTCTTGTTTTGTTTTGTTTTGTTTTGGATGTGTTGTGTTGTTGTGAGCCTAGCCTTTGTCAGCTAAGCCATCTCTCCAGCCCTTTCTCCATTCTACATCCAGGTCTCACATACCCTAAGCTGGCCTGGAACTGACTATGTAGCTGACAGTGACCTTGAACTCTTAATCCTCAAAGACCTGCAGTTTCATGCCGGTTCTTGTTTTGTTGTTTGTTTGTTTGTGCTGCTAGGGAATCAAACTAAAGATTGTACCAACTGAGCTACAACCTAAACTCTTCCACCCCAAGTACATAAGAAGGACCAATTTCGGGTATTTTTAGGGTTTTTTTTTTTTTTTTTTTTTTGCTTTTCTGTCAAATTGTTCCATATCTGCTTACTTTTTGCCTTGTCAGTGTGTGCTGGACATTATGTTAGCCTAAAAAGCACATATATTATATATGCCTGTTGTAGGTTGTACAAGCATTCATCGGTGTAGAAGTTCATTTGCACAGGCTTGCTCTCTGTGGCAGAAGGAATAGAGGAATTATACTGTACTTACCTACCACCAGCTCTGCCATAGTAATGGCAGTGTAGGAAAGGGTATGGTTGGAGAGGCTGGGGAGATCTAGCCCAGTAAAGTGCTTAGAAGGACCTGAGTTTATATTTTAAGAGCTCATGTAGAGAAGCGCAGATATGGCACGCATGTCTCATCCCCTCAGGGAAGGTAGAGACAGGCTTGTGGATTCCTGAGCCTCACTGGCCCTCAGCTTAACTTTCTTGGAGCATTCCAGGCTAGTGAGAGACTTTCTCAAATACAGGGTACACAGCTCCTGAGGAAGGATACCAAAGATTGTCCTCTGGCACACATATGCACACATACTTTTACACTTATTTACATACAGACACATACAGAATCATGGTTGGACACATAGAAAATAAAGCAGCCTGACAAATATTATCTGATCTAGTGGGTAAGATTTTGGTTTTGTTTTTTGGTTTGTTTTTTTTTTTTTTGAGTTATTGGAATTTTTATCTGGTAAAGTTCATTAGGACATAAGCCTTATAACTTTCTGGTTTTAGGCTCACAACCTACTTAGATGTGCAGCGTTGCCTGGAGTATTTGGGATATCTAGGCTATTCCATACTGACGGAACAAGAGTCTCAAGCTTCAGCCATTACAGGTAAGCAAATGGATGCTATTCAGCTCATGCCTATGGAAGTTTTTTTACCTTGAGTTTTTGGGGAAGGGAGTGTAGCTCAATTGGTAGAGTGTTTGCTTAGTGTGCAGGAGGCACTGGGTCTCATCCCTAGTGCTCCATGAACTGGGAATGGTAGTGCATGCCTGTAATGCCAGCAACAGTTCAAAGTCATTCTCAGCAAAAAAACAGTTGGAGGCCAGCCATGTTATATAAGACTCCTCTATCAAAACAAAAATGGGGCTGGGCAGATGGCTCAGCAGTTAAAAGCCCTGACTGTTCTTTTAGAATGCGCGTGTTAGGTTCTCAGCATCTATATAGTGGCTGACTGTTCCTGGAGATCCAGCATACTCTTCTGACCTCCATGGGCTCTAGGCACTCACATATATGCAGGCATAACACTCATACACAAGTAATTTTTTTAATTAAGAAAAAAAACCTAACACAATAGCTATAATTATTTATACAGGACCTGTACATGGTTGGTACCATCTACTTCAGGGGCTCACAGGGGCTCACCTTACTCGAGGATATATAGGTAGTTAATGGTTGCTGCTGGAAAAAGACATTTTCTTCAGTGGTATAGCTTCTGGTAAGTGGTGCGATACCTATCCTGTAAATAACCCCTCATGCTCTTGTAAGCAACTCTAATGGATCAATTAAAAGGCACAAAAAGGAGGCTGGAGAGATGGCTCAGCGGTTAAGAGAACTGTCTACTCTTCCAGAGGACCTGGCTTCAATTCCCAGCACCCACATGACAGCTCACAGCTATATATAACTCCAGTTTCAGGGGATCTGAGACTCTCACATAGACAAACATGCAGGCAAAGCACCAATGCACATGAAATTAAAAACAAACAAGCAAACAAACATGAAAGACTTGTTGGAAAGGAGAAGGGGATCAGTGGGAGTGGGAAAGAAACGAGAGGGTAATGTGAAGGGGGTGAATGTCATCACAGTGCGCCATATCCATGTGGGAAAGGAGGCCTGTTTACTATAATAGTTCATACATGCTAACATAATGTTTAAAATGTGAACAAAGTTATTCGGAGGCCAGAAAAAAAAATCACCTCAAAGGTTACAAAGAACAAAGATAAGATCATCTTATTCCATGTCTGTATTTGTTTCGCTTAATGATTTGGAAATTTTTCAAATTTATCAAAGAGGATAGAGCTTTTGCTTCTGTTCTGCTTCCCAGTGCTCCAGTGATGAAAGTGAGAACAAGGTCATCATCAGCTAGTAGAGAGTGGAGGCCAGTCTAGGTGACAGGAAATCCTGCCTCAAACTCTCTCTGCCCACTTCCAGAAGAAGGGCAGCTGTGGAACCTTTTTGTACCGATTGCATAGCTTTGTTTTGTTGTCTTTTGTTTGGTTTGGTTTGGTTTGGTTTTGGTTTTTGTGACAGAGTTTCTCTGTGTAGCTCTGGCTGTACTAGAACTCACTCAGAGATCCGCCTGCCTCTGCCTCTCATGTGCTGGGATTGAGGTGAGTGCCACCACCGCCCGGTTTGTAAGTCAGACACTTCCTAGAAGTGAGGTGAAGCAACACCCAATTGTACAGATAGACGGTGGGTTGGAGGTAAGTGAGCATAGTGGTACATGTTCCTGTTGTTTGTTTTTCTCCTTAGTAACAAGAGATAAAAAGATTGACCTGCAGAAAAAACAGACTCAGAGAAATGTGTTCAGATGTAATGTAATTGGCGTGAAAGGCTGTGGGAAAACTGGAGTTCTTCAGTCTCTCCTCGGAAGAAACCTAATGGTGAGGATTATCAGAATGTAATTTCTTCTAACAAACATTTATAGTAATGTTTTCAAAGGTTCCATAGACATTGTTTTTTAAGGTAATTATTAGAAGTCATGGTGTACAGTCATTTAATACCTAAACACTGGTTTTCCAAAAGATTACACCAGTAAAGCAAGATAGATACTTAACAGGATTGTTGGTACTTTGTTAAAACAGAATCTCAGAAAGTACCTCAGGCTGGCCTGAAACTGGCTGTGTATCCAAGGCTAACCTTAGACTCCAAGTCCTGGGTGTACCTATTGTTACAGTTTAGATTGTATAGTCTGGTTGTGGCTGAGACTTAGTTCTGACTATTGCCTTGACTAAGAAGACTGATACTGTTTACAGATGGTTCTCTTATGAGACCGTATTGCACTAAGACTTGCCAGCAGATGGCTCCAGAGTATCTGCTCACTAATCCTCTTTACTTCCTCTTCAGCGACTGCTTTTACTTTATGAAAATAAATACACACACCCGTAGTCTAATACCCTCAGACCCAAGAATATAAAAGCAGTATCCTGCTTTTACTGATAAATAGCATTATAGAGAGGGATGAATGTCTTTTTGTGTTTAACACACCAACACAAGAATAAAGGTATGTGCTAATGAAAAGAGGTTACTTTAATATTTTATTATAAACATTGAGATTTTTGGTTTTGTTTTTAGAGGCAGAAGAAAATTCGTGATGATCATAAGTCCTATTATGCCATTAACACTGTCTATGTCTATGGACAAGAGAAATACTTATTGGTAAGATCTTCTATGATGCAAAAACTTAAAGCCTTGGGTACATTGTTAAATTAGTCTGAGACAAACTAGCTTTCATTTAATGGCTGTATGCTGAATGTGTGTGTTACTTTTCATTTGGTTTACTCTTTGGAATGTTAATTCTACTGATTCTGTGTGATTAGTCTGTTTGTGCACTTAATTATATGTTAGCTACCTCATAATAAGAAACCCAGGCAGGGGTCTGAGAAATGGCTTAGTGGTAAAGAACAGTGGCTATTCTTTCAGCAACCACATGGTGGCTCACATCTATCTGTAATGGAACCCAATGCCCTCTTCTGGTGTCTGAAGACAGCTACAGTGTCCTGATATACATAAAATAAATATATAGGTAAAATACTTAAAAAGAAAAGAAATGTACTGTCGGAAGGCAGCAGTTAGCACATGTACTGCTCTTACAGAGGATTCAAGTTAGTTCCACCACCCACATCAGGCAGTTCACAGTCAGTCTCTCTCTCTCTCTCTCTCTCTCTCTCTCTCTCTCTCTCTCTCTCTCACACACACACACACACACACACACCTTTCTGTTAGTTCTTTCTTGTTCTTTTGATACTGGACTTTGTAGACCAGGCTGGGCTCAAGCTCAGAGAAATCCACCTGCGTCTGCCTCCTGAGTGTTTTTGGTTTGTTTTTTTTTTTTTTTTTAAATCACTGTTAGTGAAATGGCATCAGTACTTGCCACAAAATCTAAAGGTCTAACTTGATCTGTGAACCTACATAAAGATGAAAGGAGAAAACCAGCCTCACAGAGTTATTCTCTGACCTTCACACACATGCAACACACTATGCCTTCCATGCTAATAAATAAAAACCGAATTGCTTCAAAATATTAATTTTAAATTCTAATGTTATTATTGGCTAGCAATTAGTATGAAACCAATGCTGGTGCTTGGTAGTTTATCTGTAATATGAATCTGGTTTATATGTTCATCAGGGAGAAGTATAGAAATATAAATATATATGAAAAGAAAAAAATACCAGTGAATTATAGTAGAAAGGTTCTGTGCTTTTCTTGGGTGCTGTGAATTCCATTTCAGACTTGGTTCACAATTGATTAGCTCTGTGACTTCAGGAAGCTGCTTTCTCATAAGACAAAATTTCTAACCAAGTTATGGAACACTTCTAACAACTAAGTATTAATAAACATCCATGCAACTGGACAGTGGTGGCTTTCACCTTTAAATCCCGCACTTGGGAGGCAGAGGCAGGTAGATCTCTGAGTTTGAGGCCAGCCTGGTCTACAGAGCGAGTTCCAGGACAGCCAGGGCTATACAGAGAAACCCTGTCCAAAAAAAGGAAAACAAGACAAAAAAATCCATACTTTGTTTTTCTCAGATAATAGTTTCTCAGTTAATCACATTGAACAAATGTTAGACATTTTATGATGTTATATTTTACTCTTTCTGTTAAAGGTTTTGTAAGTTTTTTATTAAATATTGTTTGTCTTTTGTAGTGTTAAATATTTGTACTTAGTAGACATTGCTGACTATTAATATTCTTATGTTCTTTGTAAATCATTTTTTGTGTTTTAAACTATGCATGCTTTCATAATGTTTTATTTGAAATTTGTCAAGTTAATTTTATATAAATATTACCATTCTTGGTTTCCCATTATCTTTTTATTTTCACAAGCTGCACGATATCTCAGAGTCGGAGTTTCTAACTGAGGCTGAGACCCTTTGTGATGTTGTGTGCCTGGTATATGATGTCACCAATCCCAAATCCTTTGAATACTGTGCCAGGATTTTTAAGGTTTGTTCTTATGCCCATGACTAATTGTAACTTTATATACAGTTTAATTGATCTCCAGTGTAGTGTTTCCTAGTCAGAAAAATAGACTGCAGAGTTGTTTTCAAAAGATATGCATCTAAAACAAACTATATATATATATATGCAGCTATGTACCCTATCTCTGAAAATCCTAATTTCATTCCACACTAACCAAGTCCCAGTCATAGGCAGTAACATGTTTTTATGTACATGTGACTTTGATGTGTATTCCTGATTGAGAACTTTTGCATTAATGGAAGACCTTGGAAGACCTTGGCTGTTAGAAATGGAAATGGAGCATGTATAGTGCCAGTTACCCAAAGAATGGCAACCAGAGCAAGGGAATAGACTAGGGGCTTGCAAGGCGTATCATTAACTTTGACATTAGCAACAAGAATCAATAGGAAAAAGCTCTATATACAAAAGTATTTATTGTAGCATTGTTTTTAATATCAAAAACTCTCAGAAAATTCATGCATCTAACAGTTGAAGAATAGTTTCCTAGAAAAGATAAATATCTAGTAAAATAATAAGCAAACTCTCAAAGCGACAGTTTAGGTTCTGAAGTACAGAGATGATACAGCCTTATATTTTTAAATGCTGTATCCAGCATAATTGCCGTTGTATAAATATAAATGTATGTGATAAGACAGTAGAGGCAATATAATGAAAATGGTACTTTTTATTATAGAAAATAGATATATATTTTAACTGTTAAAAATTACAGTTATCGGGGCTGGAGAGATGGCTCAGCAGTTAAGAGCACTGACTGCTCTTCCAGAGGTCCTGAGTTCAATTCCCAGCAACCACATGGTGGCTCACAACCATCTGTAATGGGATCTGATACCTTCTTCTGGTGTTTCTGAAGACAGCTACAGTGTACTCATATACATAAAATAAATCTTAAAAAAAAAATGACAGTGTCTCTTCAGAACTAGGGTTTTGTTACCTATAAGAAAAGCAGTCCTGGTCATGTCTAGGGAAAGGAGACTGACCTAGCGCTACCAAACTCTGCTTCCCACTTCATTTTCTCCACTTGGGATTGTCATTGCTTTGCCTGTCTTGGGAAGTGTTTTCATTTACGTCATTATATAGTAATGTTTGGATTTGCCATCAATATTTGGTTTCATGTTTTTATTCCATAGCAACATTTTATGGACAGCAGAATTCCCTGCTTAATTGTAGCTGCAAAGTCAGACCTGCATGAAGTCAAACAAGAGCATAGTATCTCACCTACTGATTTCTGCAGGAAACACAAAATGCCTCCACCTCAGGCCTTCACTTGCAATACTGCTGATGCACCCAGTAAGGATATCTTTGTTAAGTTGACAACAATGGCCATGTACCCGTAAGTACTTGCCCTGTCTTCATCTCATGTTGCATGGTTCATAGTAACATTGCATGCCATTTGCCATGGGGGATCTTTGTCACATAAAAATTGTTCAGCAACAGAAAGAAACTTTGAAATGAGAAGGACCAAATTTGAGCAACTGCACATTTGGTTTGAGTGTCACAAATGATAGAAGCAGTGCTTCCAGAATACTTGTGTGTTTTTGAGCAAGCTGTAGCTGTCCTAACAGACTAGTATGACAAAGCACAGCTCCCACCCAGCATTGAACAGCAATCCTTTTCTGATAAAATGAAGTTGACATCATGTTGCTTTATGCTTATAAGGCATTTCCATATGAGCACAATTTTATTTTTAAATTTTTCTGTGGATTAAGTGACCTTTGGTGTGTGCTGAATTCTAGTCTTTTGTGAATTTACATTGAGCTTAAATTTTATGTTTGAATTCAAGATTTGCCTTTCTTAAAGTGCTGTAAAAAGTTACAAGTGCAATGTCCACTGTGTAAAGATTTTGCATTGATATAGCCATAAATTTTATGTACATTTATTATATCTATACATGCATATATACAAGCATATAACTATGGCTATCTTCATAGTTTACTAACTGCCTTAAAATTGCATGATCTTAAGGACATCCAACTCAAGTAGTGTTTTTGTATAAATTCGATTTTGTAACAAACAGCTTTTCAGGCAGTGCGTTTCTCAGGAGTTTAGTGCATACTCTTATTTCTCTTGTCAGTCTTTAAGTCATTTTTCCCATGAAAACTAGTGTATAATCAATACAATACTCAAATTCAACAATAATAATTAAACATTATTATAAACAAAGACTAATGCTTTCCAAAAAGGTGTTAATTGTACAGATTTTTGAAGTCATAGTATACTGGTGTTCTATTAAATACTTAGTGAAAAAAAACCAGCAAATCTTTGCTTTTCTATCTGTATTGGAAGACAAGTCATTCCTATTAATATAAGATTGAAAACCCTTGTTTTACCTTTGCTTTAAAACTCTCATGTATGTTATCTACAGAGAGGATCATTACAGAGGCAGCCTCTCCCGAGACATGGGCAGCACTGATAGAATAGAGAATTTGAGAAAAATCTGGGTCTTTCTAAAAACTGCTTTGTAAGTTACTTTTTCTTTATGATTCTGTGGGATTTGTTTACATTTTCTTATAGGGTGGCCAAATCTTCTCCTTCGTTGCTGTTAATATTTAGAACTATCTAGAAACGCACTGCTTGGTCAGACCCCCTGCCTAGCTGTAACTCAGTGCCATCCCTGCTGTGTCAGTACCCCTCCAATTGCATAGGTCGCTGCAGGTGTGCCTGGAGCTGTGTCTCTACAGCACCCGTGCTAACTCGTGTGTGTGTGTGTGTGTGTGTGTGTGTGTGTATGTGTGTATGTGTGTATATATATATATGATAAATGTACATATATGGACACTTCCTATGTTTTCAATTACAAATCACTTCTCATGAAGCATCTCCCTGTTGCTCAGCATACTTTGCATCTCTCCTCTTTGGTGGGTGGAGCCATGTGTATATAGACGAGTCAGATGGAGCTTATAAAATCACGGATGGATTCCAGTATGACAGCTGGCAATGTCTTGGTACCAGAAATACAATTCCTCACCACAAGCCAGGTTCGAAAAAGAAATGTCTTGAGCATTAATTCTCAAAATTGATTCTTGTTTTTCTTCATATTGGGAGTTAGGCACTTTTGAGATACTGCTAATGGCCACAACCATACCACTGTGTGCTGTGGTCTCAACAGCACTCACAGGCTAAGCCAAGTCCTTTGACTGAGAAGCCTCTGAAAATGATCAGATGTCCCAGGAAGTGGTGGCATTAATTCATCCAATGGTGCTCTTCTCAGTGGGTTTTGCGCCAGTCAGTACCTTTTCATGGGTGGTATGATGGCTTTGTTTGTCTGACCACTGAACAGTCATTGAAGGCCCCTGCATTCTAGTCAGGGCTTAGGTGAAGTGGGTTACCCCACGTGCCTGCGCTAATCAGTGACACTCCACTGAACCAGAAAGGAGTCAGAAAGTCCTTCAATTCATAACTGATTCAATTGGCTTACTGTAGATTTTTACATCCTTACCAGAGTGTCATCCGTCATACTTAAAGCTGCTGTTTTGTAGCTGATGAAATTAACCCTGCATTTCTCCTAGTATAAATTTATAAAGCACTCTGATTTCCTTTGGGAGCCAGGGTGCTTGGTGAATTAAAGATGATGCAGTTTATATCTTCATAGGGTTGGCTTTTGTACGTTTGTCACCCTTCTCCTTCCTGGTTTTCAGGCATGTGTGTATGCTGAGGGAGGAGGAAGACGAGGGAGTGCTTACTCAAATGCTAGCAAACCTGTTCTTTCAATTGGTGCTATGGCTTACTCAAGTTTTATTTTTATTAATTTAGTTGAGGGTGCCATCTATTGCTGTGCATATGTATTCCACTAAAACTCATCTAATGATGATTCCACTCCCCCCTCCAACATTTTTTTAAAAGTGTTAGCTAATATTCCCTAGATTTTTCTATAGGGAGGGAGGAAAAGCTGTTACCGCTTACTGTGTTTTCAGCAAATGTGGAATTCTGCACAACTTTAGCATGCCCCACACTGTCCTCCTTTCTACAAACAGTGTTGCTTATGCCTAAATCTTTCTTTTTTAAGTTGGCACCCTCGGCTTGTGCCATATTTATAAGTGAGAACTCAACCCTGTCCTTCTGTGTGTTTTCACAGCCATGCCCGGTTACGCTGTATGTGCACCTGCAACAGGTGTACATTTTGCATCTGTCAGAACTTCCTCAACTCAGACTTGCTGCAATCTGTAAAGAACAAAATCTTCACTGCAGTTCTTAACAGGTTCTTAACTTTATTTACTGGGTACCAGGCATTCTGTTAAAATACAAAAGAAAAAGTGGATAACTATTTATTATATAGCAACTCACTACAAAGGGAAAAGCCAACTGACCCCCACCAACTCCCAGTGAAAGTCTCATTGTGGCGGCAGTATTTAGTTCGAGAATCATCATTAATAATGTTTTTTGGTTAATAGGTCTATTTTGGGAACTATAAAACAAGATTTTAGTCTTTTTCATTAGGAAAGTAGTTATCTGTTCCATTTTAGGACATAATATGTACATGGATATTATAACCTTTTTTGGGGGGTGTGAGTTGTAGATTAGGAGGACTTTTGTAGTAAGGAAGAGACATGTCAATCCAAAATCAGAAACACTGTACTGAATCTAGTTCCTGTGACATACCATATGCAGACCATACTAATGTGAATCATATTCTTTTCTTGACACCATTTATAATTCCAGAATTCCTTTTGGGGGAAAAAAAGGAATGTTTACTTGAAAGAACATGGCTTCTAGAAACAAGACTGATAATCAGCTTTAAAGGTCATAAGAGTATGGAACAGAAAAAAGAGCTGTTGTGCTAATTCTAAGCCCTCCTCCCTCAAGTTTATTAACCCTGTTTATTCCAAATAAGCAGATTACATACTGAAGTCATTCTTAGTGAGCTAAGCTATGACATAGGCCTAGGAAGTCATGTATTCTTTAAAAATGAAATGGGGGAAGGGATGCATTTATTCTCTCAAAGCAATGAACTTTTATTATTCTTCTTTCCATGCTACCCTTTTACTTTTTTAGTTTTTTGAGACAGGGTTTCTCTGTGTAGCCCTGGCTGTCCTGGAACTCACTCTGTAGACCAGGCTGGCCTCAAACTCAGAAATCCACCCGCCTCTGCCTCCCAAGTGCTGGGATTAAATTAAATTTTTTTAAAATTTAAAACCTATGTAATATTAGTTTATATTTTATGCCAAATTTGTATATGCCTAAGGATGAATTTGTTTTTTTAAATCACCTAAATACAGTTGAGAGCTAGCCTTGATTCAACACATGATCAAGCTAGTAATAGATTTAGTTTAAAACGACTCAGCTACTTGGCCCATCCTTGAATATTTTAGCTACATCTGTATCCTGGCTAGACTCTTTAACTGGATTAAATAATCTGGTATGTGGCCACCACCAATATAGGAGCTGAGCCTATGAGATGCTGACTGTTTGCCAAGGGTTTTAAAGGCATACTCTAAGTGTTTTAGTGATGCTTTGACCAGTAACTGCTCCAGAATAAGCATGTAGCCCCTTCAAGTACTGCTTTGAAGGGATTACCTTGCTCCCCTGGTAGTAAAGTTCTGCCTCTGTCTTTTGAGAGCATCTTGTAAAAGAGTAACCAGACAGACTCCCTCATGGTGACTGGCAAAAGTTTAAGGCTAGTTCAAACCAAACAAACCCAGGAGCTCTGGTGTTGGATCTTAAGAGTTGGAAGATTCTGAAATTCATCTGGCTAGTACCATGAGAATGACTCTCTCTGCACGCCTTCCTGAGAGGTAGTTATTTGCTTACAGCCTTCTGTTTTGAAGAGAAGTTTTGGTTTTGCTCTTAAATTTTTTAGGTAAGATGTTTTTCCTGTAGCTTTTCCTCTGTTACTTTTAGCTTTGTCCTTTAGAACAGCATACGACGACCACTGTTCCTCATCAACATAGCAGTCCTTCAGATGTTCTCTTCTCCAGGCAGAACAATTAGGTGATTTTAGTGACCTCATCGTTCCTCATTGTCACCATCTAAAATCCCCTTAAGTTAGCAGGTGCCACAGAGAGTGGCAAACAGTGCTGCAGGTGTTGTCTGACTAGTCTAGAACTAGCCAGCACATACATGTTCAGCACCCAGCTAGTACATGACTGAAGTGTTTGGCAGTCCATCCCACTGTTGACGTGTATTATTAACTGGGGCTAATCAAAGTTGGAGCCTTTCTTCATAAGAAGTACTATTAGAGCAAATGTCCCTTCATTTCTAATTTTGTTTTTAATATTTTAGTTGACATTTTAGATGGAAATTTAGGTACATGTATCTCTCTATTAAATGTCACCCTTTTTAATCCATTTGTTCTAGTTCAGTCATTCAAACATTATTTTTATAATTTATCCCATAATATAACAATCATTTTGTTATTTGCAAATTGCATATATTAGATGTGTTTTAGTTTTCAAGTTACTGATAAATAATATTGGAAAGAAAAAAGTGGACAAGTCATAGGCAACTCTGCCGATGATAGATGTAAAATTCAGTTGGCAAAAAATAATACTTGATCCAGGTGTGGGGGACACATCTGTAATCCCAGCACTTGAGAGGCTGAGGTAGGAGGATCAGGAACTGACTTATATAAATAGCCAGAGCTATTTGAGAACCTATTTCAAAAAATAAAACAATAAGTAATAAAGTTTAACAACTGTTGTATCATTTAAGCTGAGTGTGGTGGCACACCCAGCACTCAGGTAGCTGAGGCAGGAGGCTCTCCAGTTGAAGGCTAGCCTGGTTTACACAGTAAGTTTAAGTCATTACTGAACTTCATCCTGAGAACCTAGCTCAAAAAACAATAATAAAATATATTTATTATTATCTAATATACATTGTATATTACCACCTAGTGTATATTGTATGTTACCTAATATATATTACATATTATTATCTAGTATACTTTATCTTCTTCACACTGTATCTTCTTAGCCATCAGGAGTTTTAGGAAAGGTTTTTTTTTTTTTTTAATCAGTCTGTAATTTTTGTCACATTCCCCTGACATACCAATGGATTGTTTTATCTATTAAATAGGAAGTGACATCTGTTTGATATCTTATGCTTGGTGAGTCTACCTTGGCTTACAGTAATTACAAACTACCCATTTCAATATGTATTCTGGAAGCTGTTATCATAGCAGACTGAGTCATTCTCTGTAGCATTGGTGACAATTTTTCCTCATGGTTTGATTCGGTCAGGTTCTAGGTGAGACAGTTTGGAGATAGATTAAATAGATATGCTTGCTCTACACCGAGATCCTCACAAGTGAGCCCTTTGTGTCACACCTATTAAAGTGGGAAGTCATTTAACAATAGTGTCAGCACTGCCTTTTGAGGAAGAAAATGATGTCTAAGGCAGGAGAATTACTATGCATTTGAAACCAGCTTATACCACAGAATTCGTTCTAATGGACTAGAATGAGACCCTGTGGTGGTGCACGCCTTTAGTCCCAGCATTCTAGGCAAAAGCAAATGGATCTCTGATTTCCAGGCCAGCCTGATTGATCTACAAGCTTCCAGGATAGCCAGGGCAACACACCTTGTCTCAACAAACAAAAACCCAGCAAAAACCAAAATTTGATGTGAAATGTTCTGGTAATTGACAAATATGCATTAAAGACTTTAGAAATTATCAGAACAAAGTGTGTGTATAAGCTACCATTTTACAGTCCTAGTTTTAAGGTAAAGTCCCTTGAAAATGGAGGCAGACTAAGCCTAGTGTTCTGCTGAGTCAAGAGCTTACCACAAGTTCAAGAACCTGTCACAAACAAATACAACAGAAAAGGAGGACACTAAGGGAGGACATTGTCTCCATTCTTCACCCCACCGTTTACTATTCACCCAAGGAAAAGTATTTGGGTGTCGAGAGGAGAATGGAGACTTCCATTTTCTCAGGCGTTGACAGTATTTGGTGGCTGGTCACTATTGGTTGCTATGCTAAGCATATCTTAATATTGTTAGTATAAGCAGAAAAAAAAAAAAACCAGGTACTTCATTAAAAGTCATTGAAGGACTTTTAGGTGAGCCTCATTCCCTGAGGAAGATTCCCACTTCCCACTAATTGTTAGATTTAAAGACAGTGGGGCACAGGGGCAAATGCACATATGCAAGAAAGCAAGTACGATTTTAACCTAGCACTCTAGAGGTAGAGATGGGAGAAACTGTGTGAGTTCCAAGACAGCAAGGGCTACACACAAACACATATTTCATATCTGAATAGTTTCATAATTTTGTCTTAGTTAGGGTTTTATTGCTGTGAAGAGACATCATGAGCATAGCAACTCTTACAAAGAAAAACATTTAATTGGAGTTGGCTTACAGTTTCAGAGGTTTAGTCCATTATTGTGGAGGGAAGCATGGCAGTGTGCAGGCAGACATGGTGCTGGAGAAGCTGAGAGTTCTACATCTTGATCTAAAGACAGCAGAAGGAGATTGTCACATTGGCCAAACTTGAGCATATATGAAACCTTGAAGCTCAGCTCCTCCAACAAGGCCACACCTTCTTGTATGCCAGTCCCTGTTAGCCAAGAATTCAAACACATGAATCTTCTGTTCTGTTCTGTTCTGTTCTGTTCTGTTCTGTTCTCTGTTCTGCAGAATTGGGAGTGGGGAGGGGCAGGGCAGGGAGGGGAGGGAACAATTCTATTTAAACCACCATATTCTACTCCCTGCCCCTATATGCTTGTAGCCATAACATAATGCAAAATGAATTTAGTCCTACTTCAAAAGTCCCCATAGTCTGTCACAATCTCAACAAAGTCCAAAGTTCAAAATCTCTTCTGAGATTCATACAATCTGTTAAATGTAATACCCTATAAAATCAAAGTCAAACATCAGATCACCTACTTCCAACATACAATGTCATAGGACATACAGTACCATTTGAAAATGGAAGGAAGGGATCCCGTATTTCCTCACTGGAGCAAAGCAAAACCCGAAAACCAGCAGGCAAACTCTAAACTCTCCATGTCAGCCATCAAAGTGCGCTTCAGATCTCCAGCTCCTTTCAGCTTTGTTGATTGCAACACATTTCCTTCTCTAGGGCTGGTTCCACTCACTGGTAACAACTTTCCTCAGCAGGTATCCCACAGCTCTGGCGTCTCTAACCTCTTGGGGGTCTCTATAGCAATCCAGGCTTCACCTTCACAGCCTCACACAGTGGCCTCTCTGGGCCTCCATTCAGGGATATCCCAGCCACATGTCTGGCCTCAGTGACTTTCTT